GTGCATCTGAACAGGGTCCTCGATGGTTGACAGGTGCTCATATACATGTGAAGGGAAGGAAAGTAACAGCTGATTAAAATTAGTAAGAGTTAGTTTTTGGATTTGGTCCTGAAAATATCTGAAGAGGGAAGGAGCAATCTGGCCCCCATGCTTGTTTACAGGCTCATTTTTTTTTTTTTTTTTTTTTTTTTTTTTTTTTGAGACAGGGTCTCCCTGTAGTCCTAGCTGGTAAATTCTTCCATATTTAAAAAACAGAATCCCTCACATTTTAAATCCTTTTCTGCCCATGGTCCAATTTCTGTTTTCTTTAAGGCTTCAGCTCTTGAGCCTACATTTCCATCTCTGACTCCATTTCTCCCATTTTTCTCCTAAATACATCCAATTAGACTCCCAAACTCTACATTGATAAATCTAACGGTGAATTTTCGTCTAACTTGAATCAGCAGCAGCATTTGACATGTGATCACTTCCTCCACCTACAAACTTGTTTTTCACTAACTTTTAGGATTTTTCTACCTAATTATTCTTCTGCAGTCCACACCAAATGGCACTAAACCACATCAAAGACTAGAATAGACTTGGCTGGCATAGCAGGACCCCTCAGGCAGACAAGAAAACTTGACTCTGTCACTTCTCCAGGATTCCCCTTGTCCTGCTGGGGTGGGGGTTCACAATACCAGTTATTCTTGCCCAGGAAACTTTTTGCCCCAACATCTGCTTCCATGCTCAGCAACTCAGTGAGGCTCTCTGTGGGTACCCAATAGGAAGTGATGCCATCACCCCACCCACACATTTCCAACTCTCCCTCCTTGCTTACTCTAGATTTTTCACTACTTGGTAAACTATATATTGATGTATTGACTTATCTTCTACCACCAGATTGTCAATTCCACAAGCTCAAAGGATTTTAGTCTGTTTTGTTTGCTGCTAAATCTCCCTATCTAGAACAATGCTCAGGAAATGGCAGGAGCACAGTAGTATTTATTAAATCAGAATTAACCTTTTCTGACTGATGAAAACAATAATAGTCTTAAAAGAAACCAAATTAAAGCATTCTTTTCTGCTGTCCATAAGAACTAGAGATGTAACCAATTCCTTTAAATCATACCAAAGATGAAGGAATAAAACAGGTCAGTAATGGGAAATAATTATCCAATTATCTTTATACTTACATACCTTGGTAAAAGAACTTCCTAATTTAACCAACGGTACTGTAGGAAATTCTCGCTTTTCACTCATAGTCAAAGATCCTGCATTAAGGCTATAGAGGTTTGACATCACAAGCAAGAGATCTGATGTGGTCTTGACAGGAAGAAAACGACTTCTTGGAACATTAATACCTAAAGAATTCTCAAAACTTTTAATTGCAGCTCCAACTGCAGTTTCTAACTGAATGACATTCAAGCCTCCATCCAAAGTCTGGAAAAAAGGGGGAGGGGTCAGTGAGAAAAGAGGAAATAGAAGTTTTCTGGTTTTCTTAATTTTATGTGTATGAGTGTATTGCCTGTGTGCATGTACGTGCACCTGTGTCATGCAGTGCACGCAAGTCAGACAAGGGCATCAGATCCCCTTGGAACTGGAGTTCTGGACAGTTGTTAGCCGCCATGTGGGTCCTGGGTATTGAACCAGGTCTTCTGCAAGTACAGCCAGTGTTCTCAACTGCTAAACCACCTCACTAGCCAGTTTGTTTGTTTTGTTTTTGAGACAGGCTCATGTATTGCTGACTGGCCTTAAACTTACTATGTACTAAGGATGACCTTGAACTACTTACTACCTCTTCTAAGTGCCGGGATTATAGATGTACACCACCATGCCTAGGAAACACAGGTTTCAGACACTTATTAACTCATAGCCTTGTTCCATGTATGCTATTAGTACTTGGGAAGTCAATCACTGAAGGACATATAATCTTCAGAACTGACATTAATCAAGTACCTACCTTATGCTCTACATATGTGGTTTCTTTTAGTCTCATGAGTCAATAATATGTCCATTGCTTTTTTGTGGGGAGGGGTTGAGACAGGTTCTCTCTGTAGCTCCAGCTGACCTGGAACTTGCTTTGGAGACAAGGCTGGCCTCAATCTCACAGAGATCCACCTGCCTCTGCCTCTCAAGTGCTGGGATTAAAGGCATGCATCACCATACTCTGCTTTGTCCATTTTTCAATGAAGAACCATAGGTTCAGAAAGTGTATGCAAGGTGCCTGAAGACAAATGGCCTACGAGAAGAGCAATAACTAAACTAAGGGAGATCCTCTACTTTTCAGCCCAGTGCACTTGCCATTATGATAGTGGCTCAGGGTCAAATCCAGGGACATGTTACTAGGATGAGTGCAGACTCTGGAGGACAGGGGCCAGGAACTGGAGAGCCTGACTAGACAAAAAAGGAGTGACCAATGGTTGACAGGCAGACAGAGGGGGTAGGCCCTTAGGAACCTGAGGAGACAGAGACTAAGACCTTTGCTTACCTTTGGATTCACAATAATTTCCATGTCAATGGCATTCTGTTCCTGCAGTCTTTTAACTGCTGCAAGAGAAATCCATAGGTTGTTTGTGTTAAATATTTTAAATTTTGATACAGACTTGAACTCATCAACATGTGCTTTTGGCACTTGAGCGATTTCCACCAGTCTGAGTTTGCCTTCATACTGAGTGAGTGTCCCACCCTAGAAAAGCAGAAGAGTGTCAGTGCTTCCACATTTTCCCAATCCGCTGTAGCATTACTGCTTAGAACTTCTGTGACACTTCAGACAATCTAATAGAAAAAGCATTTTATGTTTGAAACTAGAACCTAGGAAAATGATTCAGACTGTTATTTTATCATATATACCCACTGCTCTACCCACAGTTAAAGCCCTGGGAGTATATCAGCATCCTCCTTCCCCTAAGGTCTGCTATAGGAACACTGTTCTTATTTCCAAACCATTGCCCATCACCAGACAGCTTAGTCCTACCATATCAGGCTCTTCCCTAAGAGCGTGAGATGTGGATCAGGCTGGAAATGTTCTTATAGCCATGAGCCCATGCCAGTATGGGAAGAGGAGGCACAATATCCCAGGGCAGGGGATGTTTGGGTATACATCAGCTATGGGTAAACAGTAAAATCCATATACCACTTTAGATTTTACATTTACATTTTCATATTTTAGATTTCATAAATACACATAGAACTGTTTTCAATTAAAATTGACAGAGATTATCCCTTAAAATATAGTTATAACACTATTAATTCTGGGCTTATGATACATATTATTATTTTAGAACTTAAGGTACCCCACAGAATAACACTACGATCTCTTAAATGATGCTAAGTAGACAAATTTACATTGTGGTTAAAAGAGAAACTTCTAAATTAGAAAAGAGGTTTTAAATAAGTAACTTATTAAATGTAAAAATACGAATTCCCAAATTGCTGCTTCAGTATTTACCTTTACATCTGCACGTGTTTTGTTTGTAACTTCCATGACAAATTCACAGCGCTTCCCATTGGGTGGGTTCATCAGATGATTAAGGATATAAAGATCCACTGTGGCACCCAGATTATCTATATTAGACACAAAAATATACTCTTTGCCTTCTCCTATAAAAGTATCGAGCAAACCGGAATTGTAGAAACTGGCATAGATATCACCATGCCCTGGAGGGTACCAAGCATCCGTATTTTCCCCTGAGTAAGATACATCCTTTGCTACAGGAAGTAAGGATTCTTTATTAATCCTCGGGTACCTTAAGAAGAGAGAGAGAGAGAGAAAGGTAGGTAGGTCTTTGTTGTATTGACTCTATAGAGCATGCCAGAGAAGTAGTAAAACAATATATATTAAAATTAAATAAAATAATCCCTCCTTTTTAGATATCAATAGTAAATTACAAGTGAATTCATTTAAGAAAATCTTTTGTTTCTAGATAGTAATAGTTGTGGGGAAAAAAGATTTCCATGGTCATACAGATGAGAAGATGCTAAGATGTTAAGACATTTTTACAGCTCTCCAAAAGGAATATACAATAAGTAAATGTTCCCAAATGTGTTTGCTTGTAGGATGATTATGCCTGAAAATCTGAGGAAAGCAATCCATTCTTACAAACAGGCACTTTTCCAAAAAGTCAGCAGCACATTAGCTGTCCCTTCCATCCCCAGTAAGTACATGGGTAAGAGCTGGCAAAGGGGAAAGGAAAGCGGAAACAGCACAGCAACAGGCTGAAGGTCCAATAAAAAATGGCAACACATTTATGACATGAAAAAAAGTTTGATGTGAAAACAGACTTAAAATTACCAACAACATAGCCCTTCTGAACACTCTATAGGATGCTGTCCATCCCTAAATGGAAGGCTATTCACAGTCACCAGGGTCTTGTCACACTTTATCATCTGAATTCCTTTCTACTCATTCCACCTTGCCCAGATGTTTTTCTCCAAAATTTCTTAAATTTCCCTAGGTGTAGCTGGACACAGTGGCACACGCCTTTAATTCAAGCACTTGGGAGGCAGAGGCAGGCGGATCTCTGAGAGACTCAGGCCAGTCTGTTCTACATCTTGAGTTCTAGGTCGACCCTGCCTCAAAAAACAACCCCCCCCCCAAAAAAAAACCCCAAAATATTTCCCTAGTCCTATTCAGGGAAGAAACTCCTTTCAACAGGAAAGAAGGTCTTCAGTAATGCAGAAGGCAGAAAACCCTTCATAGACCCACCTAGCCTTATAAACTGTCCTTAAATATTTGGAACATGGAACAAAATCAAGCAGACTGTGTGAGAAAATGGAAATTCCAGAACCAAAGAGTGTCTATAGCAATTTTGTATCTATTTAATACCTTTAACCTATGTTTAGATTTTTTTTTAATATTTATTTTTATTTTATGTGTATGTGTGTATTGCCTGCATGTAGGTAAGTACACCCATGTTGTGCAATGCCCATGGAGGACAGAAGAGGCTGTTGGATCCCCTGGAACTGGAGTTTCAGACAGTTATTAGCTGCCATAAGGGTGCTGCGATTCGAACCTGGGTCTTCTGTAAGAACAACCAGTGTTCTTAACTGCTGAGCAACCTCTCCAGCCCCCCTATGTTTAGATTTAAAGGCATCAAGTTCTGGCAAGCATTGACCACATATGTCTAGAGGATGCTGTGTTGAAAACAAGACAGTGAAGACCTTTCCCAGAGATAACAGCCCCTCCAGCTAATTATTTTTAACTCTCGTACCTGCTTTGATTGAAAGTGTAAATTTTCACACGACAATGGTTGTACTTCTGTAGTATTTTTTTGGTATCTTCATCCGTGTTAAAAGAGTTCATTAAAACCAGAGGAACGTCTGTGTTGTAGGTTTTGTTCAAATGCTGAGGAGAATGACAATCAGATCATTCAGACTTATTTCTCTGCTTAAAAATGTAAAATTGTCTCTTCTTTATAAACACGTAAGTGTATATACTTATGTAGCTTACATAAGTAACTGCTCTGCATGAGCCAAAAGTGTTGTTAAGCAATTCACCATGGACTTATTCGATAAATCATTACTGTTTGAGATGGAAACTACTATTTGCATTTTATGACTACTTCAGCTGAAAACCAGATTGGTACCCATGGGTGGTCACAACTGGGGCTTTGTGCACAGTCTCAGTGCTCATCAACTTCTCAACCACACTTTAGCTGAACTCTTTTTGGTCTCTCTTGAGGGAAAACAGATTCTTAGTAGTCAGACTGTCTTATGTTCAAATTTTGATTCTACTTTATTAAAACTGGCTAAAGCCCTGAGCTTAGAGTAGGTTCTCTGTGCCTATCTTAATCTATAAAATGATGGTAAGAGTAATTATAAGTTGTTGAAATGAATTATTTTAGGGAAAGAGCTTAGGGTACCTGGTATACAGTAAGTGTTGGACAGATGTTAGGCAGCACCTTACTAGAAAACAGGGAAAGAGAGATGGAAAAGATAGGGCCTCTGCCCCTGAAGAGCTTGAGGTCTATACTAGTAACTTTGTCAGAAGAAGAAAGCCAAGAATAGTTGTATCCATGGCATCCAACCAGATGTGGGACATCCTCCTCAGCTTGCCTTCTGGGATCAATTAAGCTAGATAATACCAGCATCATGAAGGATACCATTAGAAAGGGTAAGAAAAGGCAGATCAGAGGAGAAGCTGAACAGACCCAGAGATTTCAGCAACCACAAATGCTATTTAAATCAAGCTTTTATTATCATCCTAAGGATGTGCCCTTACACCTTTTTTTCACACTAATAAAGAGACTAAAGATGGCAAGCTCTTTGACTAGCTCAAATTCACATCTACACTTAATAATGTAGGATTTATTACCGGTAACATAAAAACTAAAAACTATTTTAGTATTTCATAAGAAAAGCTAAATGCTACTTACTTCAATTTGCTGAACAGTCAGATCCAAAAACGTATTCTCATTCCTCACACCAATAAGACTTTTAGGGCCTTTGCAGCCCATGCTGGTTCCCAAACCACCATTGAGTTTCACCACCACCAGTTTGTTCAACACAGAAGATATATTATCAGGCAAGCCCCTGGCCTTTATCTTTTCATAGGGTTGAATCTGAAAGGAAAAATAAAATTAGAGGAGTCATTTAAATAGCTTTGTGAGAGGTCAGAACAAATCAATCCCAAGATTATTTCCATGCTTCCTTAAAAAGCTTTGGTCTCTCAATGGAAAGTTTCAACTACATTTCCTCTAAAGTCACTTCTAGTAAAAAATATCAAGTACTTACAGGCAACTTCCCTTGCACAAAAAATTAGTTCAGTGGTACATTTCCATAGCAGCAGAGCTGCAGTGTGCAAACATCTGTCTGACCGGTGGGAATATCTAAATCCTGAATTATCTTTAAAAAACTCTGAACTTACAATTTTAATAGACACATTCAATGAGATACCTCGTCTAGTCTAAATATTTCAGCTGCATTATGATCTACTTCAGTTCTGAGGAATAATATATTATTAATCATACACTACTCCTCCTACCACAGGAAGCAAAAACCAAAACACATTTGTTCATTTTAACACCTGTCCACCATTTAGTTAAAACATGACCCTTCAGGAGAAACTGGTGTAAGCTCTATCACACTTCTAGGTATGAGCAAGGACAATTCCTCCTCAGAAATTTAACTCTAGAATGTCATTGTATGAAAACCTATCATTGGAAAATGAAATGTCCTGGTTGCTCCAAGAAATGTCCTGGGAAGGAAGAAGAGAACAAAGGGCTGTGGCTGGAGAAAATCCTAATCCAACCTGCTCCCTACATCCTCCTCTAGTTCTGTGAACAGAGTACCGCAGCCGTCAATTTGTGCCTTTTATTTCTTCTACCTGCCAATATACTCTCTTATTTGGCACAAACACTAAAGAACACAAAGCACTCTTCTTCAAGGCTTTCTATATTATCCTCACTCATTCTGAATTACTTAATTATTCATCAGTTAATTACTCATTCTGAATTACTTAATGTAGTAGGACTACCAGGCTTCAGGAGCTATTGTCATTCATGTATCAGAAGAGGCTGGTGACAGGAAGGAGTGAAGAGGGTTAGGGCCCTACCTCAATCCTGGGGTGCTGACCATCAAGCAGGTCAGGGAGCTGGGAAAGAACCAATGCAACAATGATCACTTCCATAGCAGCACTTGGCTTGGGTGAGGACAATGCAGAGGTGATAACAACTTGGAGCTCCAAAATACAGACAAGGTGTCCATGGCCCACTGGGTCAACACTCCTTGAAGGATGCTTAAATTTTTAAGTTTACTGCCATAAATATAATTTGTTCTACATTTCAAAAAAACTGACAATACTGCTCAGGAAAAAAGTCCCAATTCAAGTGTCACACTATCAGAAAAATAAAAGGCAACAGAGATGGAACCTTTTGTCACTTTAAGTGACAGGGTAGTTTGTAACCCTTTCTATGCCAGCTGTTGAAATCAACTGGTCAATAAGGGAATGCCACAGTGACACAATGGCTTCAAGTAGTCTATTATTAAGTTGGGGGACTTTCTTAGGCACATTATGTTTACTGGAAAAAAAATTGGGAGGTTAATTATTTTCCAATTACTTTATAATAATGCCAGGAAGGATAAGAAGTTTGATTACATTTTAATAACTTTTTCTTCTTCTTCTTCTTTTTTTTTTTTTTTTTTTTTT